GTCCATATTTCCATAGAAAACTTGTAAAATGAGCATAAAAAAGACCATCGAGAACCTGCAAAAGGAAAAATATATAAATAAAATGATGGTGAAAAGAGAAGGTAACAAATTTTTAACAACAAAAAAACATACGACTCACTTAGAAAACCTACAAAAGAAAGAGTTATATATCTGCAAGCTTTCTCATCATCTCCTGATCACCAAATCAGAAAATCTAAAAAGAAACCAGAAATATAAAAAAATATGTAAACAAACCAGACAAATCAAGAGAGACAAAATCTGAAATTAGGGAGACAAAGAACATACCAGAAACGCAAAGAAACTAATCCAGAATTCACTAGCAAGATATAGAAAGGTATTTTAGAGAGTTTCATGAGGGTATTTTAGAGAGTGCAGGAGGGAGAGATAAGGTTTTTAGAGACGGGGGAAAATCTGAAAATTTGCGAGCGCGAATTCACTTAAGTAGTATTTTTTTAGCGTGTTTTAAAAGACGACGCTTGTTAATGAGAGATAAGGTTTTCAAAGACTGGTGAAAATTTGAAAATTTGTCGAGCGCGAATTCACTTAAGTGGCCATTTTTTAGCTTGTTTTAAAAGATGACACTTTTTAAAAAAAGATCGTCATCTTTACATATAATAGACGACCCTTTTTAAAAAAAACTGTCATCTTTACATAAAATAGACGACCCTTTTTAAAAAAAAAACCGTCGTCTTTACTTCATAAAACAATGGAAGCAGAAGGGACGTAGCGGGAATTTGCAGTTTTGCCGTCCGAGCTCTGATTGAGGTCCATGATACCTTTCTGAAAAGGGAATAAAGCCAGGAATCAGACTCTAAAGCTTTGCAGTGACATATGGTGGTTTTTGGCCATTTGAGGTCGTTTAGCCTTCAAAAAACACATTTAAAGAGTTGAAAGTAAAGTAAAGACGACGGTTTTTTATGTCAGCGCAAAGCTCTAAGTCTGATTTGAAATGACCCGACCCAAATTCCACTTTGAAATCCGGGCCGAATCCAGTTTTAAATTGACACCTGGTAACTGTAGATCGTAAAAGACGAAAATACCCTGAAAACAACAACATAAACCCTGAGCCCCTAACTCGTGGCTGCGCCTAAACAACTGTAGGCTGCCTACGTACCCTTACTGAGGGATCAAGCCACACGTAGTTCTTTCCTCTGTTCAGGACCTGTAACTGGTTTGTTTTACTGTACACCCTACTCTAGGGCTGACATTTCTGGAGTATCCGGGACTTCGTTT